GGTTGGTTCTGCTTTGCAAGGATCAATGGAATTAATTTCAAATTGTTTTAAGCCACTACTGCAGCTGCTATGAAACACACAGTCAATCCAGATATGGTATGTTGATATTGCAGTTTTGTTGCCAGTTGAGAAGTTTATCTTATTTGTTGACGTGGTCTAAATGTATATCTTAGATGTTCCTTTTTTGTTTGTTTTTTATGTATTGATGAGAAGTCTCAGGGTTTCTTTTTAATGGTGGGGTTTTGTTTGTTTGTTTGTTTGTTTGTTTGTTTCCGCAGAAACTTTTTTTCCCTGATGTTTTTAATCTCATTTTTGGCTAGAAGTTTCATTTTGAGTTGTTCTTGATAGTAAGAATTCTTTCTTATACAGGAAACAACCTGTGGAAATTCAGAGGTGTAGTTTGGGATATCGCAATTTAGTTTGCATTGCAGTCATGCACACTAAAAATGCAGTCACCATTAAAGAGTAATGTAACTTCTTATACGTTTTGGATTTGAACCTTTTGAAGGTGCAAGACTTCTCTAGGTTATCTATAGACTGTCTGCTGAAGGGCATTCAGAGACCATCCTGAAGGTTATATTTGCCAACAGGGATAATGGGAAATATGTTTCAATTGGTTCAGGAATGGATGCCAGTTAAACTTTGTATTCTTTTTTTCATTGTGGACTTTCATTAGTTATGTGTGTAGGAGAGTTTTCAGGATGTATTCAGTGTACAGATCTTTTAAAAAGTAGTATTTTGTATCTAAATAAAAAAACTTAATTCTGAAGACAAAATCTTTAATTTCATAAATTAGTTCATAATACACACACATATTTTCATGTCTTGTAGTTATGTTGTATCTGTGTAATTTAAATCTAATTTATTAAGCAGTTTGATCTAGGTTTAGCTGATCTTGGAAAATATGCTCTCTGTAAAAATGCCACACATGCTTTGCATGAATTTAAACTATATGACTGTCATCATTTGACTAGAATGATTGTCCATCTGTTACCTTCTGAATAGAGTGGGGTTTTGTGTGCAAAAAATGACAGTGTTAAACTGATTTATTTTTGTAACTGATTTTAAAGAAAGAGATTCCTCACTGTAAATCCTAAACTTGTTGAAATTATTTGTGAGAGGACACAGCAAACAGACATCCAGTGGGTTTTTTCTTCATTGCTATCGGTTACTTGCTGTTCTTTCCAACAAAAGGGTTTTCCTGTTCTGTTTGGGGGAAAAAAAAGCCTAAATCTAAAATATCTCTAAAGAGAACTCCTTTTAAGGATTCTGATGGAAACTTAACTGATCTATGACATTTTGGGGGTCTGTAGAGGAAGAAGTGCAGTGATGTCTGAATTGGCACCTGAATCCTAGACATTGGAACTAAATAGATAACTGGCATTTTATGTAATGTCAGTAAACTGCAGTTTGGCTTCTAAATTGGTTCAGAATCACTTGTGCTTGAAAGTGAAAGCTCAGCATCTTCATAAAACTATGTGCAGACATAGTAGGCTTTTAAAACCTTCATTCTTCTTATCATATTTAGCCTCAACTTTCTAACAGTTGTAATTGTCCACAGAAAACATTTCAAGATAAATGCATTATCAGGTTTTGAAATTTTCTTATTTTTGTAAATACTAAGACCTGGGGGGCGAAATAAGGGCTATATTGTGGATTAAGTGAAATATCTCAAGCCTGCGGTTTTCTGATAACTGAACCTGAAGTGACCTTTCTCAGACACAATTACAGAGCTGTATGTTTTTCCTTTAATTTCATCAGGGGTTTAATTAGTATACAAATAAAACTTCCCTTATCTTCCTTTCTACCTAATTGGCTTGTCTTCCCTTATATATGAAGAATGTGAAAATGGGCTGTAATTAGGGTGACCGTGTTAACCTTTTTTTCTCAAATGTACTGTTGCCTAAAGGCCTCAAGGCCTAAAACCAGTGCTTTGGATTATTGCTTTGCAATCACTATGGCTCTCCCACAGGTTTTCTCATGAGCAGAAGGGCTTTGGGTGCTGCAGGTTCCCACTGCTTAACAGGATCTTCATTCTTCTCCCCACTAAATGTTTATTGATTATCTTACTGCTCCACACTCAGCCTCCAACAACTTAATATCAGGTGACAGTCAGGAGAGTTCTCCAAGTAATTAGAGTAGAGCATTGAGGGAACAATTAGGAGCAGAGTTATTAAACTTGATTTATCCTATTCTCTCCTGAACACTTTCTTAGATATCAGAACATCACACTTTCACAATCTACCCTGGCTGAGAAATTACTGGCTAACCTGCTGCTTATCATTGTTGCCTTGCTGCCTTGAGGCACACCCTCTTGGTTTCAGTCACTCAGCTGGAAATATTAGAGTCCATAAAGTTTATCAAGGGTTTTAATTAGATCAGTCTGAAGAAGGAAAAAAAAGAGAGGCTTACCAGCCATTACTTTAGAATACTCCACACTGTATTTTAGTGATTTCCAAGGCTTGACTTTAACCCAGAGTAGCAAGGAGCTTCAGGTTAATGCTAAACCTGCTTTTAGAGGGCTAGAATCCGTTTACATTTTGCTTAGATATTGCAATGTTACCGATAAGTAAAGTCTGAATCCTTTGTAGATTTCTGTAAATAAAGTTTTGAGTATAATAAAGCAGCTGTTCAGTCAGATATTTGATTTAATCATTTATATATTGCTCTGTCAACAGCTAGTGTGGCTTGCTGGCTATGCCTTTCAAAGAGCTAGGCCTGCATCCCTGTTACTGCTTCATTAATAGGCCTGCACTTGGAATTGATAAGCAAGATTAGTTAGCAGCTCCCAGATTTTGAAACCTTATGGGTTTCTCCTCCATTTTTGGAGAGTGATGAAAGCTTTATGCAGAAGCAGACAACTCTTCAGCTCCCGTAGAAGGATAGCTATCTAATAAAAATGTAATAAATATGCACCTGTCTTTCTTCACTCATTTAGACCGCTGGAGTCTTGGAGCCAAACACTGTTCCAGCAGCCTCTACATCAAAAGTTACTTGCATCAAAATCATCTATTGTGCATTGTCCAGAGCTCAGTCCTGTGACTGTACTTTGAAAACAGACTTTTCAATCAGATGGGAAAGTGGGTGAACAAAGCATTGGCACAGAAAACATTATCTGTGCAGCACATCTTGTTTGTCAAAGGATGGAAATACGGAGGGAGGGGACTTAGTTTTCAGATCCGTTTCTCAATGCTGACTTAGCATAAAACAGTAAACACAGTAAATGGAAGAAGATAATGTTCTTTATTCTTAAATTAAAGATCACTCCTTTGATCCTTGCTAATCCACATCTGGTTCCTTGGAAATAACTTTTCTGAAAATATGGCAGTTCACAAATCCAGTTGTTCAAACAGAGCTTTGATAGCTGTTGGTTTATTCTGAAAGCACTATTTTGGATAACTTCATGCATATAATGCAGTGGAAGAATAAGATCTGTGTGTTTATCTTTTTTTTAGATGAAAATCACATTATTCCTTGAAAATAATGACATAAGAGGCAGAATATTCAACCTTCAGTAATTTAGGCAAGACCAATATTAACATTTCTGGGGTTTAGAGTTTCTGAAATAAAATCCTGATTTTTTTTTTTTTTTTTTTTTTTTTTTCTTTTCTTTCTTACAGTGGTGATTAATCACAGCCTGAATTTTGTAAATTGCTGAGAAGAGATTTCAGGTTGTGGTGCTGTACCTTCCAGTTATATGTTGAAATAACTGGTTGATTTTTTGTCTTCAGAAACGTTTGAATAAACCTTAGACCAATCCACAGATTTCTGTTTATTTTGCAGGATTATGCAGTTTCATGCTGTACTTTATTTTTTGTAGTAATTTTCTCTAGCATATTGTTTTTTGAAATGCCTTTGAGTCTCAGTTAGGTGTAAAGCTTTTTCAAAGGAATTGAGTTTTTTTGTGCCCTCCAGATTTTTATCATCCTTTTCATATGCTGTTTTTAATACATACCTACAGTGTAATACTTCATCTCTGTCTTCCATAGTCCAGGTCAAGTACCCCTGAGTGCAAATTATGCCAAACATGCTCAGAATTTAAGCAGAAAACATACCCATAAATTTTGAAAACAAGGTGCAAGAGCTCAGTCTTGCAACAGTGCAGACTTTTCTGTCCTATGAGTTTAGAGTCTGAAAGGGGATTTGCATTTTGTAAAATAGTGTTTATAGCCACGTATTATAATTTCTTTCTGAAAAGTCAGTTAACAGCTGTAAGCGTAACATTTAGCAAACTATGAAATCATATTGTTAATATTGCAGTCTATAAAAGTATTGATTATCCCAACAGAAAGGAGAAAGAACTAGCCAGGTTCTGTATTAATTAGCTCTGTTTAGTGCTATTTGTCATCTGTTGGATTAATCTGAATTGGTTTAAAGCATGTTGTGTTAATTCTAAGCTGAAGAATTAACATTAAAGTACATTAAAAGATTACATGTACTATTTTGCATATTGGAAAATTAATGTTAAAATATTGATAGCACCATAAAATAGTGATTTATTCAAAATTTGCTGCAGAACTGTTCTTAATGCAGTAACAGAGAATTTTAGATTCTTATTCCTTGAATCCTCAAATTACAGAATAGGGCAGAATATTTAAGTAAATGCTGCATTGTTTATGCTCTTTTATCTCTGTCAATTATTTTCTTTAATGGTCATTTTAAATTAAGTTTTGAGACTGTACTGTTTTCTTTAATGCTGTATTCTTGATTCTTTCTGCTGTGTTTAGATTTAGTATTTCTTAATATAGTACCTGTAGCATAGTATATGTACCTGTTTGACCAGTAGATCACTTTATTTTACAAAACATAGGCAATATACTAGCAACTGGGTGGTTCTGAGTTTGTAATGTTTTTGCTAGAGAATTCATAAAACCTGAGTATGTAATGGTCCAAAACTACTTCACAGTCTGTCTGTTTTCCACTTTGTTTAATAGCCTATGGCATAAATTGAAGTTAATTATTTGGGCTGACAAGTAACTCTGTTTTCTGTCTGCTTGCAGAGACTCTCCGAGGCAAAGATGGAGCTGAGAAGAAAAGATCAATCTCTGCGTCAGCTCAATAGACTTCTTACCCAGCTGGAGCAGGACAAGCGTCGACTGAAAGAGAGCATCCGTGATGCAGAGAGTGCCCTCTGCATGGCAGCGAAGTGAGCACTGGGACCTTGGGGAGATCACTTAAACAGACAAAAGATCAATTCTTACTTTCATGCACAGGGTTTTAGCCCTGGCTAATGTAATGCTAGAAAACAAAAGTACATCTGTCTCTCTTTGAAATTCAGTGATAGTCTTCTAAAAAGAAAACTGTTAGTTCAGGATACTACACGGTATGTTTTCTGTAGTTATCCCATAATAGTGTTCCAAATTCTTGGTCCTGAAATAGCATGTGAATTTTGGTTTGCTAATTATCTTACTGATTTAACAGCATCTCTTTGGCAGATACCCAACACTGTTTATTTAAGAAATTATTGCTTTTTTTCCCCCTCTATTTCCACATCTTTTTAGAGAGATACAACTTATTTATAATAAATACAGGAATGTCAGCTACATGACAGGTCTTAGCTGTCAGAGGGTCTGAAAATTGAGTTTGGACCTTGTCTTATCTGTGGAACAGGGTAGATCTTTCTACTAATCTCATAGAGTTTTGGATTTAGACATAAAACCTGTGCCTTTTTATACCATAATCATAATCTTGAAAAGATTGGTAGTCAAAACATGTTCATTGACTTGAATGAGATTATTACTAATCTCTTACGGTCGTATAGTTAGATAAAAAAGATAACTGTTATCTATTACTCTTACTGTAGTATGTACTTTGGATATTGTTGGTCTATGGCTAAGATTTTAAAAAAGTTTAAATTAGCATTTCTCCTTGTACATGGGACACATTTGACATCAGAAAACAATAGTTTAGAAGCTTTAAGGTGTTCATGCACAATTGAAATAATGTCATTAATATAGTTACAAGTGAAATGTTTAAGAAGCTAATTAAAATGATAAATGTTATGGGTGTAGTAATGCAGATGTGACCTGAAGAAGGATTTGCTCGGGAAAGCTTGCTCCTTTTCACCCTGCCCCAACCTGTTTTATGTACTCTTGTAACGATCATTTCCTATGGCCCTTCTCATATTCAGAAAAGGGTATTTCAGTGAAGTTGTTTTAAATTGATTCTGCTTCCATGTATTGTATTAGTTGAATATTGACAAAGAAAAATCCCATACCATTTCTTGTTCTACCAGCTTTTCATAACACGTCTTTTTTAACCCTTTGGAACATAGGAAGAAGGTGAAGGAGGCTTCACTTTTGTTCAGAAAATCTTACTTTAATACCTCTTCCACAAACTGGGTGATTGTAAGAAATGCCTGGGTGGCTTTCAGGTTCATTCCTAATATTTTGATTGGCTTTAAAGGATAGCAGATGGCAGGCTCACGCTGCGAATGGCTATCTTGATTATCTTGCAGTGGTGGCCAGCAGTTCTGCTCTTCTTTCCTCCAGAGTAGGAGGCAGTTTTAATAAAAATATCTATTAATGTGGGTCCAAATTTCCATTGGAAAATAATTTCCTTTTTATGATGAACACCTGAGAATATACGAGGAACAGGCTGACTTCTATGTCAGTAACTAACTTAAGAATTAATGATGTTGAACTGGCTCTCTAGAACTGACTTCACCCAGACAACTAGATAAATGAACCCAGCACAGGAGTGTGTCCTTGTCAATCTAGTCCAGATAAAGGCAGGATCTTGAAAAGAAGAAAATCTATGTAACAGCTTTATTAGGAGTGTAAAAGCCAGTCCTACTTTTCTGACTGCCATCCTGTATTTGCTGTTGGGATAGTATAGATCAAGAGCTGAGGAAGCAATAGGCATTCCAGGCAGAACAACACCATGTTTTCGACTGGAGGAAAGGAGGCGCAGAGGAGATCTTGCCCATCTGTGCAACTAGCTGAAAGGAAGTTGTAGTGGGGTGAGTGTTAGTCTCTTCTCCCCAGTAGCAAGTGATAGAACAAGAGGGAATGGCCTCCAGTTGTACCAGCGGAGATTGAGATTGGATATTAGGAAAAAACTCTTCATCAAAACATTTGTCAAGCATTTGAACAGGCTGTCCAGGGAAGTGGTTGAGTCACCATCCCTGGTGGTATTTGAAAGACATGTAAATACGGTGCTTAGGGACATGGATTTAAAAGACTTGTAGATGTTGCATTTAGGGACATGGTTTAGTGGTGGACTTGGCAGTTGTATTTGACCTTAAAGGTCTTTCCCTTTTCCACACAAATATATAATTCTGTGACTTCTGTGTTAGGAACTGCAAGAGCTCAAACAAAATATTCACATAGCTAGCAAGATAAAAGACAGTCCTAGAATATTAAGGTGTATCAGCTTTTCTGGCATAGATTCTGTTTGATTTTCTCTGTTGTTTTGTTGGTTATGCTGTTCTGTTCTCCTTAGTCAAATGGTATGGCACAACTTTAATTCCATTTCTGACAATTCATCAGATGAGACCAAGGGTTTTTATGGCAGCATAACTGATAAAAGCTGTCTTTCTTACTCTAAGCCCTAATCTACTGAAAGGTGTCAAAGTAGAATTGCATTGTCCAAACTTCTGTTTCATAAGGATAGGATCCTTCACTGGACTTCTTTTGGAAGAGGACGAGTGGAATGTTGAGGTTTAGAGAAGACAGGGAGACATTTATATAAGTACATAGTTGTTAGGCCCGTAAAACTGGTGAAAACCACACAATTAGTGTTTTCTGGTACGAATATGTAGTATGTTCCTGCTAGAGCCTGGACTCCAGTCAACATGCCGTTTTTATCCAAGACTGCAGATTTCTCCTCCAAGAACATGATAGTTGTTTATCCACAACAGAAACATCTTTCATACAGAACTGTGCCAGGTAGTGGTCCATGGACCGTATTTTAGGATTTGCATTGGGGACACAAACATGAAAGATACAAACATAACAGTTTTGAGTCATAAACCATTATTTTTAAAGAGGTGATGGTTATAAAGTAGCAGAAAATTAATTTCTACATCAGTAGAGCTTCAGTTCAATTAACTGTGTTTTTTTTTGTTGTTTTCTCTCTTGTAATAGAGACAAAGAATTGATAATTAGTCACATGAAATCTGTGGAAGCCACTCTTCATAAGGTAAGAATTTGAAGTGTTCCCTCTGCACTTGTATTTCCGAACACATTGGGGTTTTAGAACTGCTTATATTCAGGGAAGTGGGGGCATAGAAGTTGTCAAAAAGCAACTTCCTTTCCTTAAAGTTTCCACCTTCAATTTCATTCAAGTTAAAAAAATATTCATATTTAGTGAAATAAAATACAGTTTTTTAATACTCTGACATCTTATTCTTAATATAAAGTTTATGACAAAACTCACCTTCCTTACCTCAGTTGAACACTGTTTCTGGTTACTAAATGAAGACTACTGATCATTCAAACATTTGGTAATTGCTGCTAACTCTTTTTGCTGAGTAAGGTTGAAGGTCATCTGGTGAGGTCATGTATGTGGTGGCCGTAAGACATTTGGCTTTACCCATGCTACTTTAATCTTTGATACATGATAAATAGAATAGGGAAAATACAGTAAGTAATGAGCTGTAATAAAAAAGTTTCATGATACATTTTTAAAAGCCTTTTTTACATTGAGTAATAATCTGAAGCTGTCTCTTTGACTTGTCCTGTTTTGCCCTGGTATAGTATTATTTGAAGGTTTAACTAAGCTGTATGTATTAATTACAGGTGTTGTTTTCATCTGTAGCTCTGATTGTTTTGTAAGTGTTCTTAGTCCAGTGCAACACAGAACAAAAGTGGGTTTATTATCTTAGAGTGTTAATTTCCCTTACAAACACCTTGAATTCCCAGCAACATGGGAATCTACATCTTATCTTAGTTTCTGTGTCCACCCAAACTATCAACTGAATTTTCAGCTACCTTCTTCAAATTTCTCTTTTCTTTAATGTTCACAAAAAGTGACAATACCTAAACTGTGTGCTTTAAGTGTTGTAATCTGTGCTATTAGGTAATGTCTTCGTTTCTGTCCCATCTTTACACTCACTTCATTTAAGCTTGGAGAATGTATGTAATGCAGAAAGTGCTGTTTTGTTATAGTAACATGTACATGTAACACCCTTGGCCCTGAGAATTTCTTGCAAGTTTACTTTTTGATTTAGAAAGGTGTGCTGTATATGCACAAGGATTGAAATATTTGGAGAAAGGACAAGGGAAGTTTACATGCTTAGCACTGATTTTTCTGATGCAGGGAATGGATATAGGAACTGCCATCTTTCTTTGAGAATGTTAGTTACCACACCTTCTTAGTTCTTGATGTACATAGTTGTTAGGCCTATATCGCTTGTTATTGAATAGTAGAGTAATTTACCCTTTCTGGTTTGTCAACCTAAGGAATGAAAAAAACATAAGAATTAGAAATGTCAGGATGCTTCTTTCAGCAGGAACCAAGAAGAATTGATTGTAAATCATTCATAATTTGACATATCACCTCTCCTGGAAAAATAAAGGGAAATTATTGATCTTTGTTTGGGAACTATCTGAAATGTAAACCCTACATGATAATGGTACCTAATTATCTAACATTTGTGAATTTGGCTTATGTGTAAACTATCAAGTTTACACTGTTGTTCTTAAAGATTTTCTTACACAGTGAAACATCAAAACACGATGAAGTAGATGAAGTACTAGTAAAGGAACCTCAAGCCTGTCTTTTCCGCTGTAGAAATTCTGGGAACTGCTTTTGTTTTCAAAAGAGAAATCAAAAGAAAATGGATAAAGTTCAGAATTGTCTGGAGTTGAGTGAATATTACTATTAGCTGCAGGTACATTTATGGGAGTTTGAAATTGAACATTGTGGTATTTCTGTGTTGATGTATTCATGAGCAAATATCCAAAAAATTCCACTTGATCACTTGCAGGATCTGTGTTATCAATGCATAATGCTAATTTTTTGCTTATATTGCTCAGAGAGGTTTTACAGACATCCTTCATAATCTTGGTTAGAATAAGACAGTGTATACTGATATCCATTAAAGCGACCCCGCTCATTTATGTACATTCTCACTACAAGGATTCTGGAAGGTAGCAGTCTGCTTTGGGTGTACTTCAGTGTAACATTCAGCAAACAAAGCAAGAACAAGTGCATCTGAGGGAGACAATCTCTCTGCATACTTCTAGTACAGCTCTAGACAAGGGATCATTTACAGCACTTACTGCACCCTGTGACTTAATGGAAAATCTAGCATCATATATTTGGCTTTGTCAACAAGTGCTTGGGCATGCTTGTGCCCAGAATTATTCTTTTAAGACCATTTCAGAGCCACCTTTTAAAAACTATCATGAATATTTGTGAAGCATAAATGTTGAGGAACTTTAGAATGTGCTATGCCAAGAGAGAAACTGTTCTTAGCAGATAGTTCCACATCCTTTGTAACCTGCAAGATATTCTTTAGAGAGTTATTTTTTGTCTTATACTGGGTCTTGTCATGTTAGCTATCTTCATCTGACTCCTGGAGCTGGATTATTCGTACAAGAGTTCCTGATACCATTAAAATAAGAGCTCTTTCTTGGTTTTATACCATCTAAATATTGAGGACAAATATCAAAGTGCAAAATGAATGTTTTACCTGATAATAATAGTAACAACCACCAAAACAACATTACCAAGGGCAACAAAGGACCACAAGAATTTTGTTAGTGGTGGTGGGTTTTTTTTTGGTTTGGCTTGGTTTGTTTTTTGTTTGTTTGGTTTTTTTTGTTTGTTTGTTTTCTTTGCTTTTCATTTGCGTTCAGAAAACAGGTGCTTTTTTTTTTCCTCCTTCCCACTGTACTTAAGAGGATTTGTGTCTGTGACTTGACCAGTTCCTTTAAAAAAAGAAAAACACTGAATGGAAGATGCAAAATGGTAACAAATAAATAAATCTTTACTGGAAGTCTTACTAAAAGAAAATCCATTTGTTTAAAGTGCAAATGTAGAGTATCCTGAAAAGTCTTATCATCGAGAGAATAAGTATTTAAGTAAATATCTTATTTAAAGAGCCATCTGCAGTCCTTTTTTTGTGTATGAAGAATAAATGATTTTTTAAAACTTCAAAAAAAATATTTTTTTATAAATATATCTGTGTTCTAGTTGTTAGCAAACTTGCTTTCATTATTAATTTCTTGTGTATTTTTTAATACTGTTTGCATAAACAGAGTAAAAGACATTAAATCTGTTCACTCTAAACGACTGGATTCCTTCACATGTGCAGATAATGATTTATGAGTTACAGTAAACACACTAGTGGAAGAAATAATTTTACACTATCTCCGCTAAAATCTTCAGTCTTCCCCTTGTATTGCTTCTCAGTTGGAGTGTTTGTAGTGGCTTAGCCTTGGCCAGCAGCCAGTTGCCCACCTAACTGCTCTCTCACTCCTCCTCAATAGGGAAGGGGTACAAAATAGAATCAGAAGGCTTAGGGATTGAGATAATAGCTGCAATAGATTGCATACCAGTTACTGTCACAGGTAAGCAAACCAGAGCTGACTTGGGGAAAATTATTTTATTTATTAAAATAGATATGGATAATGAGAAACAAAGACAAAAAAAATAGTATCTACCTACCTATTAGGTGCAGCTTCACTCCTGACTCCTGTGCCTGTGCTCTGAGGAGTAATGTGGGGCATCGAGGGACAGGGGATTGGATTTAGTCTGTAACAGCTCTTCTGTGCTGCTCCTTCCTCCTCATATTGTTTCCGTGCTCCAGTGTGGGCTCTCCATGGACTTCAATTCCTTCAGGAACTATTCACCTGCTCCAGCATGGGGTCCTCCACTGTCTACATTGTGGATGTGTGCTTCTGTATAGCCCTCTGTGGGCTGCAGGGAAATAATCCACTATCCATTAATCCAGTGCCTCAAGCACTTCCCCCACCACTTCTTCTCTGCCTTTGGTGTTTACAGGGCTGTTCCTCACTCTTTTTTTTCCCTCCTCCTCTGCCTGTTTGGTAGTATTTGCCCTTTCTTAAGCACATTTTCATAGAGGGGCCACCGTCATGGCTGAGGGCCTCAGCAGTGCCCTGTGGTGGGTCTCTTGAAGATGGCTGGAAACAGCTGTGTCCAGCATAGGGCAGCCCCTGGGCAGTGCCTGAGCACCTGCACCTGATACAGTGCTGTAACTGCTTCTTCTTCAGCTTCCCGAAAGCCCTGTTCTCTAAACTCTGCCCGAGCAAAACACCACCATGGGAAGTCATCTAGTGAGTCAGCCTGTACAGAGACAGAAAATTGTTTCTATTTCCCACTGTACTCTTCACTAGTAAGGTCTTGACAAACTTTATGGGCTGGCAGAGTTTCAGTTTGTCCCAGCCCTGGCTGCTTAGGATTTGGCCATTTTAACAGGTTAATAGAGTACCTTATCTTCACAAGCTTAGACTGTTAGCCACTACCCCGTGAGGCTGATGAGCTGTGATAATAAGTCCATAAAAAACAAAAAAAATCCCTAAAAAAATCTTTTTTCCCAGTACTGGTTAGCAACCCATTCTGATGTTTTGGGACAGTTCAGGGATCAAAGCACGTATCCACTGTTCTCATTTTGGTTTGGCACCTCGTCAGAAATATTATTCTTCATCCACTTCTGTAATGCACTTCATTTCTGCTGATTGAAAGGTTCATATGCCAGCTGGCAGAACAGCTTCCACACAGACCCATCAGCGGTCGCCTTGAAATCCTTCCACTATTGTGTTTTATTGCCTTGCTGCTGCTCCCTTTCCACCCCTGTTGTCTTCTCCGAAATGTCCCTAAACTAGCTATGCATGAGATTTGCAGCCCACAGTTCTATCAGTTGAAAAGAAGTCTGAACACTGTATGATCCATCCTGTTACATACTTGTAAACTGGAAAGACAAAAGTATCTTTCTTTATCCAATTTAATGATGTTTTTAAACCAAGATAAAGAGACAGTTGGGGATGGGGGGAGACCATTGAAGACTTGAGAATTAGTAATGAGGTAGCATTAGATTGCTGTTTCTCACGTGGTCCGTAGCAATAAAATGCATTTCCTTATGCTGGCGGTTTTATGGCCTGTGAGAAATTAATTTACAATAGGTATAAGTCCATATACAAGTGACTACATCAGTAAAAACACTCAGTGTATGT